TTCCAAGCGTTTTGAACTTTTAAAAGGCCCAAAGCTTTTAAAGTTTTAAAACTTTTAAAAGTTTTAAAAGTTTTGAAAGTTTTAAAAGTTTTGAAAATTTTGAAAGTTGTAAAATTTTTAAAAGTTTTAGAAGTTTTAAAGATCCCTGGGCCACCAAAACTTTTAAAACTTTTAAAACCTTTAAAAGTTTTAAAAGTTTTAAAAGTTTTGAAAGTTTTGAAAGTTTTAAAAGTTTTGGTGGCCCAGGGAGCCCCAATGTTTTAAAAGTTTTAAAGCTTCCTGGGCCACCAAAACTTTTAAAACTTTTTAAAACTTTCAAAACTTTTAAAATTTTTAAAACTTGTAAAAGTTTTAAAAGTTTTAAAGGTCCCTGGGCCACCAAAACTTTTAAAACTTTTAAAACTTTCAAAACTTTTTAAAATTTTAAAAGTTTTAAAAGTTTTAAAGCTCACTGGGCCACCAAAACTTTTAAAGCTTTTAAAGCTTTTAAAAGTTTTAAAGGGTTTGGTGGCCCAGGGAGCTCCAAAATCTTCAAAGTTTGAAAAGGATTAGGAATACAGACCAAGATCGTCACCCAGGCCACGGGTCAAATAATACATAAAGGGTTCTCTTACATATATATATATATATGTATACACATCATGGTGAATATGAATATGAGTATATACATATATGTGCATATATGCATATATGTATGCATGTAGTACATGTCTATATAACTATATGTAGATAGGTAAATGGATAGATAGATAGATAGATAGACAGATAGATAGATAGATAGATTTGATTGATTCCTTGATTCATTGACTGATTAGATAGATAGATAGATAGATAGAAAGATAGATAGATGGATAGATAGATAGATAGGTAGACAGATAGACAAATAGATAGATGGATTTGAATACTTAACAGAATGGTTAATTGATTGGTTAGATAGGTAGATAAACAGATAGATAGATAGATTGATAGATAAATAGACAGATCGATGGATGGATGGATGGATGGATAAATAGATATGATTGCTTGCTTGCTTGCTTGCTTGGCTGCTTGGTTGGTTGGCTGGTTGGTTGCTTGCTTGCTTGCTTGGTTGTTTGGTTGGTTGATTGGTTGGTTGATTGGCTGGTTGCTTGGCTGATTGGTTGCTTGGTTGCCTGGTTGCTTAGTTGCTTGGTTGCTTGGTTGCTTGGTTGCTTGGTTGCTTGGTTGGTTGCTTGCTTGGTTGGTTGGTTGATTGATTGGATAGATAGATGGGTAGATAGATAGCTACCTAGCTAGATAGCTAGCTAGATAGATAGATAGGTTGACAGATAGATAGACAGATGGATGGATAGACAGCTAGGTGGGTATTTACACACGCATTATACACGGGCAGAGGCGTTGCCCACGCATTGCCGAATTGTCGGATCCAAGTGCAACGACCGGGGTCTTGACTGGCCAGACACGACTGCGGACCATTGCATGGACTCACGATAGCTTGGAAAGCCGGACATGAATCAGTTGTCAGCACGGCCCGGCAGCGCCACTGGGACAAAGGACAGGTCAAACGTGATTTGCTAGGCTTGACATGAATACCTGCAAATTCTCCCATAAACCTGCGGAAACCTTCGACAAGGCTGACGCCATCCACCCTGCTTCCCCCATGCCAGACCAGGTCCCCATGCCCATGGAGCATACGTCATCTTCTTAGAAATCTCGTGTTTAAACAATTAAGATCGCTCGGAGTGAAAGGCCTTTGCAGCTTCTGGCCTTGCGTAGACAAGTATGTTACGAATGCCCCGCCTGGTGGCTGACACTTCCCATGGCGTGTGGGACAGTGCACAGCGGAGAGATCCGATACCTACACTGGCCCTGAGCCTGATGCCAAACGTGCGAAGCTCCAGCACAAAAAAAGGCTGGCCATGGCGCTGGCAAGATGCAACTGACTCCGAAGGGCTTCTTGGTTCAGGCTGAGAATCCAACCCGGTTCGGGTGCATCGGCCTGCAGAGCATGCACAAGAAGGCTCATTTCAGATATTTCCCGTCCTCGCCACTAGGGATTTGTAGCATCCAGAATCCACCATGCGGCTCTCATTGGACCGAGGCCCATCTATTCGTTTTCCTGGCCGCACGAAACGAGATTGCCTCTCTTATTCAAGAGACCCTTCTGCGGCTGAGAGATGCTCAGAGTCTATGTACAGTCGTGTGCAACCCCATGGGCAATGGCTGCCGCCCGGTTGGAGGAACTGTGTACGTTGATTCGTCGCAGCCATACTTCACGCAGTCTCTATCCTGCACAAGGCAGTCGCGAGCATCAAGCTGCCAGTTCTCACGATCCCAGGCTCCTCCAGCAGAGCGCAGAGAGGTCGAGGCTCGGGCGGCAGAGCGCAGAGTGGGAGCCTTTGAGAGCTGGGGAAAAAAAAAACGCGCCTGAGATCCCTATAGCTCTGGGCCCCGGGCCCGGAAGGCCAGCGAGCACCAGGTGCGGACGCGCCTCGACCTCGGCATCCTGGACCTCGCAACAAGGTGGTGACAGGGAGGGCCAGGATGAAAGCTCTGCGGCCTAGGCTCCTAGCAACAAACGGGCAGGGAAACAGAGCTGGCGAGGCGGGCTCCAGGCATCCCACATGCAACCACGACCACATCAGCAACGCGGAGGAAACAGAGCTTGAATCATTGCATCCCATCACATCCAACATCAACCACATCAGCAACTCAGCAACGCAGAGGGCGGGCATTTCAACCGACATGCAGGCCCCAAGGCTTACACAGATAGAAGCGAAAGCCTCGCCACGCCAGTTTTCGTGACATGCTTGAGAAGCGTGTAAGCTCTGATGCCCCTTTCGAGGCAATGTGCTGCGATGACGCCTGTCCGGTGGCCCTGATGACCATGATGCGGCTAGTAGGAAGTAGGAAATCCATGAATGCAGGCGAAATGGCAGGTAGTCACAGGTTCGTCCACGGGATCAACTGAGTCACTGGCAAACTTTTCGAGCTGCCCAGCAAGACTTGCGATGTCCTGTTGGTGAAGGGTGGTTCGGATCTGCAGCGGCTTGTAGGCTCAACAAGTAGGGGATCTGACAATCTGGATACAAGACTGAAAGAAGGGACAAAGCGGACTAAAGAGGGCAAATTGCACCAGGATCTGGGTGCAGCCCACAACCACCTATGTCCGTTCAGATTATCCCACAATGCAAAACAGCTTTACCCGGCACTCGTGCAAACTTCTGGAGCGAACTGCTGGCCCGGAACCCGAGGGGCCACAAGCCCCTAAACCCTAAACTCACGTAGCAAGAGCCTCGAGTTGACGAACCGTGGCTTCCAGCATTTGCCTGGGCAGGGACTGAGAAGGCCAGAGACCTGCACCTTCCGCGACCGGTTGAGTCGCGGAGTGCTTTTTAAAGGGCTCTCAAATCCGAACCGAGAGCTTTGCAACCCTGTAAGAAGCCAATCGAAGGCTTTCTGAAGCGTCGATGACGGTGGTAACAGCGCAGACAACGGTGGAGACCGGCCGTGCAATTGGGAAGCTCTCGTCAAAACACATCGAGCTTCAAGACTGCTTTCAAGGGCTGGATGTGCTGCAGCGACAAAAAGCACTCGAAACGACTGAGCAGCACAAGAGGATGCTCTGACTTTTCGTTGCTTCCTGCATTTGTGTCGAGTCTGCCTTGCCACCCCCCGCTCTGAAGGGACTTATCTACATGTTGTTCCGAACATGGTTTTGCAATCTTCGACCGCCACAACCTGGCTTCAGATTTCTGTTTGGGTTGTCCGGACAAAGAACACCGAGCACAAGCACCATTTTGCCGAGGTGCAGGATGTTGCCCCAGATCGTCGAGACCTAAGTGCCAGTCACACCAGTATAGAACAACAGCACCACGCCTATCGCACCTGCGCGCGAACATGCTGTCCCAAACAGGCACGACAAAGCTACAGCCGCAACAAAAGTTATGCACAAGGTCCCAACAGAAGTTCCGATTCCCCTAACAACCCCGTCTCACACTCTGACGAGGTACTCTTCTGCGCTGGCAAGAGAATTGCTGGCAGTGGCTGCCGGGCAGACCGCGTGCCTGAGGACTAAGAGCCACTCAGCTTTGGAACACAGGAAGCAATGCTTCTGCAGCTGCATGTTCAGCAGCAGCTGCTGCTGCTGCTGCAGCCAGTGGGCAACCGCGTTTCTTACCACCCTGGATCTTAGCAGCCCTCACCTCCAGCACGTGCTCAAGCCACTCGCCCCAACGGCTGGGGAGACCGGCATCCTCGCACGGAAGTGGCATCATTCGGTTGTTTTCCTGCTTACCCCCTTCTAATGAAGTGTTCAAAATAGAATCACCAGCGACTACAGTTCTCATGTATTGCCAGTACGTATGCTGCTTATCTAGCTTGCTTCCTGCCCGGTGTCGGTCGCTGTCGTTGAAGTACTCAAGGGTGGTCTTCGTGGTCACAGCAGCAGCATCACCAGCAGTAGTAGTAGTAGTAGTCGTCGTCGTCGTCGTCGACGGCTTGGTCGTGGTCGTGTGGTCGTGTGGTCGTGTGGTCGTGTGGTCGTGTGGTCGTGCGGTCGTGCGGTCGTGCGGTCGTGCGGTCGTGTGGTTTTGTGGTCGTGTGGTCGTGGTCGTGTCGTTGCCATGGTCGTGGCCGTGGTGGTGGTGGTGGTTGTTGTAGCAGTACAAGTAGTAGGAGGAGGAGGAGGAGGAGGAGAGGAGGAGGAGGAGAGGAGGACGACGACGATGATTAGGAGTGGGAGTAGGAATTGGAGTAGAAGTAGGAGTGGGAGTAGGAGCAGGAGGAGGAAGCGGAGGTCACGCACTCATGTAACTAACTCTGCAAGTTTTTGGACATCCCGGGTCCGGCATCTGCGAGAGAAGCTGCTGGCCAGCCGAGGCCATATCTGAGGCCCTGTGCCTCACCTCCTGGGGATGACGGCAAGGCTAGGGCCAGGGCTGCTTCGGGGCCCCCTGCTTTTTTGAATCTGGGGCGCGGGTCTAGGCTCTTAGGCTTTGCACCCGAACCTTCGTAGGCGGTCCTCAATGGCAGACAGGACGTGCCCGTGCCGTGCTTCCGGAAGGTCGCCTACACCCGTGCGCTGAGTGTCAGCTGATTCGCTCGAACCCTGCCTCAAGCACGAACCTGCCGAATAGCCTCCAAGCCCTGCTGACGCTCCTGGCCTAGCTGACACTCAGCCGACACATGGATCCACCGGAAGAGAAAGGTGAGCCGACGAACGTACCTGTAGCGAATTGCTCAACAAAGGAGCAAGTTGACCAGTCAGACAGCCTGGAAACCATCCGGCCCCCTCTGTTTCGGATGCGGCACCGGAGGTAGACCAACGAGAGCGAGGATGGAGGCGAGGCGAAAAACTCCGTCAGCTGCAGCTCAACCTCGCGGCTCCGGCTCCAGAGCCGAACCCAGAGCTTCACACCCTTGGCATCTTGCTTATACTCGAAGGCCAGCCTCTGCATGCTCGAAAGCTGCTGCCGGATCCTCCCAACAAAGACAAGCACGAGATGGAGTCCGACATGGAGTCTGACATCTGCACCTCCTGCAAAGAAGTCGGGGGCTCGTTGGCCTGTGCCATGAGATCCTGGTGAAGGCAGATTCCGGATGACGACTTACACTTACACGTACTGGCGACCCCGCCGTCAGCGTCGACATGGTGCTTTGCCTCAGGGGAACATGCCATGGAGAAAGGAAAACCTCTCTGCAGCTTCTCACTTGTGCTGAGCATGCCACTGACATATTTCGAAGGGCGTTCGGATGAACAACGGATGACAAACCTGGACCCGCAACCGTTTGCAGGAATGGAGGGTCTTTTGATTTTACTTGATTCTGCATGTCCTGCTGCTCGCCAGTTGACCTGTCATCACCCCATACTATGAGTCGCCCAAGCCCGGCACGGTCACCGTGAACCATCTCAAACACACCTGCCAGTGCAACTCGACACATGACATGAGCTCACACTCTGAAAACGATGTTGCACGCTCCGAAGCATCTCGGCAAAACCCACACTGCCAAGTCCTAGTACGAAGACGAACGGGCAAGAGGCTCGCTACATCGCCCCTACAATACTTGCAGGTTGGTCTTCTGCACGCAGATCGATACGCGATTGTCAACACCAGCTTGCAGGTCAACGTTGCTTTCTTGATCGGCTCTGTGTTTCTGTTTTTGCGTCGTGCGGGTCGCATGCAGTGGATTCCAAGACCTCTTGAGCTTCACACATGGACACCCCCACTGCATACGGAACAAAACTCCCGTCAGTCTCAGATTTAACACTCATCTTCAAGCATGTATGGACATCGGGACAGCTGGGAGCCGCTGACCTTACAAACCGCAATAGCATAATCCTCTGATGCTTGTTACTTAACCCATCCTCCCTCACACACATCTGACGCCAAAGCACCAACATCAACCCTGCTGGGGTCGGGGCTGCCAAAAAGCCACGCAGACCTCCAAAACCCAGCAGTTCCACGATGGCCTTGCACTCGGGCAGAGCTGCGACTGGCGTCTCTGAAATGAGCCAGATCGTAAACTCGGATTCCTAAGCCTGAAACTTAACCCTCAACTTGCCTTTCCCAGCCTTACTCTCCCCTGCCTGCAGCAATGGGTCCAGCAGCATCTCCGACATCTGTTTCGAGGCCGGGGGCTCCATGCCTGAGGCCAGTGGTATGTTCATAGATGGTTCTACCTTAACATGGAGAGGGAGTGGGAGGAGGGAGGGGAGGGGAGGGGAGGCGAGCGATGGAGCAAGCGAGAGAGCGAGGGACGAGAGACAGTGAGAGGGGGAGGCGAGTGTAAGAATGAGCATGAGATTGATGGTGCGAACGAGGGCAAAAAGAGTGTAAGTGCAGGGTAATTATTTCTCAAAGCAGTTGTAAGCCCCACCCTCAGAACTCGGAAGTCGCAGACCGATTGCCATGAAATGTGGCGCATCGACAGCACTACCCGGAAGAGCACCCTACTTGAACGCGTGCCCGCACGTCTGCCTATCTTGCACGGAATTCCGCGTGCAATGTCGAAACCTGACACGTGCATAGGCGAGGCCTCTTGGATGCATCATCGGCCTGGGTGCGGAACCGGCACGGCAGCTGTTGCAAGTGTTGCACCCGCAGCCACAGTCCGAGTGCAAGCGAGGTGTGGAACAAGTTGCTCGATAAAGTGTTGGCAGCCTTTCGCAAAAACTAGTGCAGCTGTTTGCTGCGAGTTTCTGCGAACCTGACCACAAGTCAGCCAGTCAACAACCAATATAGATCAAGAAACACCACACAAATCGATTCCACCAGGCCCCACATTGCGCCATGGCATCCCAAGCCCAAGAGAAACTTGGCTTTCCTTTTCGACGCTTTTTCTCCCACTCGCGACCTAGTGTCGACAGAGCGTGAAAGACTCCTGGTTCAAACAACCAGGGAAGTAATTCGTGCGGCGACGTCTTTCTCTGCTTTGTCGGTCCACTGGTCCTCAGAACGGATGCAAGTGCAATGGCTGGCGCAGAAGTTCAACGGCAGCTGACACACCTGCTGCCAGAGGACCTGAAGCCTTCCCTGCAACACGGGGTCACGATGATGAGACAGAAATCTCTCCAGTCCCTAGCTCGGATATGCTTCACAGATCCACTACGTCCCCTTGCGAGCAGAGTCTCGGCTGCGGTGCCCAAGCGCCTAGGCCACCGTATTTTTTTGTGCCGGGGCTCAACTGCCTGGTCGAAGGCGTCGTCGTCCATGGCCGCAAGCTCTGAGTCACCTCGGTGCCATGTGGTCGCAGATGCAGGAGTGACTCAAAAGCCTCAACTGAGCCGAATGGCTTGGAAGGAGGGGTGTGAAAGCTTTGCCCGAAAGGAGACGATCCAGCAAGCCTTGGCTGCTTTCCGCTACCGGCAAGGAAGAAGCCCATGAGAGGTCGGCTTCTGTGAAGGTTGGCTCAATAATTCGGGAAAGCAGCGGACCGCTGCTTGGGGACGGAACTGCGGCACCTCCCCAAGACCCAAGGAGTGCGGAGCGCGGCTGTTCCGACTCAGTGCGATCGCTGACTTGGGCTTGCGCCATGTGTCCACTGCCATGGACGGTAGCGAAGGAAAGGCCGTGCTCCTGGGAGGGTCGCAAGAAGCCGCAGCCGCATCGCTAGCCGCTGGCACAGGCCGGGGCACGTAGTCCACCACGTGGCCGCCGAACTGGGGCCCGGCAGGCTGCAGCTCGAGGTTGGGGCCAAAGAGGTTGGGCTTCCTCACGAAGAAAAGAAACCCAGAAAGGCTCTCTCGTCCTCTCCCATCTGTGAAGAGAGGCTTGCCGCCCAGCGGCTCTTTCAGAATTTCGATGTCCGCGGAGGTCTTGTCGTAGAACCACGGACGGTAGTGACCTCGCGCTATGGATTGCGGCAGAGGGACACCGGGGGCAGGGACAAGGTGAGGGCGGGACCGCCGGAAACCACTGCATAGCCGACTTTCTCGATGGCAGTGCGAGTGCCCTCACAGGAAACGCAAGGGTCAGTGTCGCCATTGAAAACCTTGGCTGCCGGGCAAGTCGAGAGCCGCCTGAACCCAAGAAGTCGCCAAATCCCGATGTCATCCGCAACTTTCGAAGTCGAGGCTAGGCGAGGCTGGGCTATGTCGGAGGAACGATCGTCGTCCTCAGCTTTGGAGCAATCATGCGGTAGAAATCGATCATGCTCGGCTTGCCCGGAGCATCGTTGCAGGCGTTGTAGCCTAGGTCAGAGGATGGGATGGTCCAGCAGAAGACATTACTTTCAGGATCTTTCGGGCTTTCAGGATGGGCCACCGAGACACTGCTGGTGTATTGCCAGCCATCCGGCGGACCTGGCCAGGAGGTCGCCGGGGAGCTCTCCACATGCAGAGCCGCTTTCACCTCAGCCACCAGGACTGGGATACATCTGGATGCCGGAGTCTGCCAGAGCTGGCGCTGTGCTTTCGCTGAGCTGCATCCGCCCGCATCATCCACTGCGCCGTGTAGTAGTTCAAGGTGCCTGGCAGAGACCAGTCCAGGGCCGAGGCGTCCGAAAAGAGGTTCAGCTCATTGATGTAGGCCTCGGGCTTCTTAGAATTCGGTTGGTCTTCCTGAGAAGATGAGAGAAAGGAAGCGGCGGCCTTCTTCCAGCCCTGGGAAAGACCCCGCGATGTGGTGGCCAAGAACTGTCGGTTCAGCAGCTTGCACTTCTCGTCCGATGCCTGTGCTGCTCCAGCCCCCGGACGACTGAGGGCTCGCCCTTCTCGAACATGCGAGCAAGAGACAGACAGACAGGCAGGCAGGCAAGCAGACAGACAGAGAGACAGAGAGACAGAGGGAGCACGAGAGCACTGCATCGGAAAGCCCTCGTGGTGGCCGCGTGGCCAAGGCCAAGCTGGGCGTGATCTTGGCTTCCCAGCGCCTTGTTGAAACACACACCACGAGAACCAGCAGGAAAAAAAGGTATGAGCAACAGCAGCAGCAGCAGCAGCAGCAGCAGCAGCAGAACATCCAACACCACCAACATCACCGGTTAGAAGCATACATTAGAAGACGGCAGGGATCCCGACCCCCAAGGCCGGGGCCCTGCTGACCGGCGCCAGTGCCCGCGCGCGAGGAAAGAGGGGTGCCTCAAGGCACCGAAAAACGACTTGACAGTGCTATGAGCCTGGAACGAGCTCGGGCGTAGGGAAAGTAGGATGCAAAGAGTTCCGGAGCGGAGTCTCCATGGTGTTCGAAGAAGTCTTTAACATGAGATGTTTGTTCATCGCATACCTTGCGGTTCCAGACACAAGCAGGTCAAACCAGACGTAGTGCCTTGCTGAGCAGTTGTTCCAGAGGTAGTCGAAGTCACTGTCAGGAACGAAGCCATGCTTGTGTGCATACCACAACCTGTGCAGGTTGAGGAGGGGTGGAAGCTCCGCAAAGATTTGCCTGCTCCGATGTTTGCTCAGGCACATGTCCATCGACTCTTTCTGCGATGGCAAGTCGGTGCAAGGATCACCGACAGCAACTCCTGAGTTGAGCAAGTACTCAAATTGGAGCAAACTCTGCAGCAAAGTTTGCCCAGCACAAGGTGTGTTTTTGTGCCAAGCATCCTGTCCTTAGCTGGAGCATTAACAATTCCGGCATATGTTCTGCATACATGATGCACGCTGCCTTCAACAACATTACCACCAAAAAATCCGGGCCCGGGCCTGCTGTTTCCGGGCTTGTGTGTCATGAAGCAGTCAAAGTCAAGCCCAGAATCATTTTGACTTCAGGCACATTCTCAAGAATCTCATGGGTCAGTGTTGGAATGTAGACCTCAGCTGGAGATGAAGATCAGCTGCCCCGAACCGCATGGATGAGGAGACATCTCTTCTTTGTTGCAGGCAGGCTTGCGGCGGTCCGAACAGGCTAACTCGGTTGAGCATGACACCAGCCAAGGGACCCCCGCGTAGGATTCGCCTTTCAGCAACCATGTGATTCGGAATTTGCAGCAGCTCGCAGCTCTACTTTTCTTCTTACTGCTTCAAGCTTTGCGGTGACATGCTGGGAAGAGGGCTTCTCATCATGCTCGTCATGTGTGCCTGTGATGAAGAACTCGTTGGCCTTCAGCTCTGGAAACCTTGCCGGAGGAGCAGTGGAATTTGGGGTCTCCATCCGCACGGGAAGTGTCAGAACAGGTGGGACTGAGCGGAGGCTTGTTGGATCTGAAGCTGCAGCACTCCCGCCACGAATCCACCAGAAGCTTGCTTTACTGATTCCTGCTGCTGTGGCGCTTCTTGAAGAAGTCCTGCACCGCTGCACGATTTGCGCGGGCCGTGGAGATATCTGTATTGTTGCAGTTGCCGCCTGCCTGTCCAGAAAGGCTTGGGGCTGTTCTAAGCTCTCAGTTACAGGCCCGTTTGGGAACCCGTGCTGTAGTAAGGAAGACGCTGCAATCGGAGCAATTTGCAGACTGAGATCAATTTGTGAGGTTGCAGGCAACGAAGGCGAGGACGGACGGTGGCTGATAACACGGGAACAGCACCTGAGCTGAATCAAGGCTCCGGCCAGAGCCCTAAGCCTCCAGATGCTCGAGCGGAAGTCTTTGACGAAGAGGTTTACCAAGGAAAACCGAGAGTTCCAACGAAGCTTTGGTTCCAGAGTTTCTGCACTTCTCTCGCAACCCAAAGCCTCAAAGCCTGCACGAAACAGTCGCAAGGCCTTCATGGCTGCACAATAGGAGTATCCAACACCTCCAGGACCTTGGGATCAGGAGTACTCGTCGATGCTCTGCTTCAGCTCTACAAACCAGACAAGTGAAGCAACGAACGGCTCAACATCTCCATATCTAGAGTCGTCACAAGAGACTCCAACTACAACACGAAATCCTGGTCTTGAGGATGCAGCTCTCCAGGATCAAAAGGTTGGCTTGCTTGGTCCAGGCATACGGGTTTCGCATGAGGCCACCCGTGGCATTGATGAGCAGGGGCCCGTTCTCCTGTGCAGGGGCCAGCACTGTTCTGCATGGCATATGGCCTGCCCTTGGAGAAACACCAACGCCAGCTGAAGATCTCCCATCCTCACAACTCCCCTAAGCCAAAGTCTAAGCCTCTCCATATCTATCCGCTGCTTTGGGAGATGCCTGCACCCTTCGTATGGTGCAGGCAGACAGTGCCTGCAACATGCCCAAGATCGAGCTGCTGCCAGGTCCGCCATTCCTGGAATGGCAGGCTCGGTCACACCCTACCCAGCTTGTGCTCGGTCAATTAGGCATGGTGAAGTCTGGATGCCGGACGGGAGACTCCGCTGCTCATTGTCAAGATCCCTCCTGAACCGGTATTCTTACATCCTCAATTTCATGTGCTTGCCTCGTGATGCGACTGACATGTCAGACATGCCAGTCACCTCAAAAAGCAAACATATGACACCGAGTTGGCCTAACTAAACCCAATTCGGAGCAAGGGACAGCCACAGCACCACAGGCAGGGAGGCTGCATCTGCAGATTCTGCAGCAGCGAACCAGTAGTGGAGCTGGGTCCCCGGTTCCTGTTCCAACACATCACTGTCGAGATCTCTTGCTATGTGCAGTTGTAGCGGGAGCTTCAGGCGGTGGGTGGATTGACGATTACGACACTCGCACATCCCTCACACGCTCTTGCAGGACTCTTGCAACTTTAAAGCTCTGCTCTACATCTACATCTCTTGCTGGTTGAGACTCGACTGCTCCGGCATCCAGAAAGCCAGAATACTGCGGCGCAGGTGGTGGGCCATACCCTGGAAGATTCGAAACCTCACTGGCAATGCGAGCAGCGAGCCTTTGAAGCCCAAGCGCTGATCACCTACGACTGCGCGCACTTCAATCAGGTCCCCGGCCGCTTCGCTAGAAGGCGCCGCGCGTGCCAGCGATGCAAGCAGAGACAGGCGCCACATTGCGGAGCCTTTTGAAGACCCAAGCGCAGGTGAGCTGCTTGGTATGAAACCCTCGAGAGCCAAGAATGGCAACGAATGGTCACGCCAAGATCGCAAAGTCAAGCGAACCGACAGCAGAGCGACAGCGACTTGGATGCGTCACTGGCTGGGCCCCGAGCTCCTCAGGCCGGCATTCATGGAGACTTGAACAGACGCGGCCGTGCCGAACGCATGAGGTCCGAAGCCTATTTGAAGGGAATGCGAAGTAACAGCTGAAGCTGAACATCGCAAGCCTTAGGCCAAGTCAGAACAAGGGATCTTACCCCAAACGCTTATGCAGAACGTGACTGAAGCATGCGTTTCAAAGATGCAAATGAAGCTCTACAGACCTCCTGAGCCAATACGAAACTGTCAAACACGAGGAGCGAGACATGCTTCGAAAAAGGTGCGGCTGAGCTACATGTCCTGTAGCAGTTTTGCTACGGTTTAGGCTTCTGGGCCTAGGGTCTGCCCCCCGACTTGTGGGCACCTCACAACATCGCACAACAATCCCACACCCGGAGACCCAGATCTGGACACAAGCACCAAGTATATCGGAAACCCCCAGAAACCGGGCCCGACCTCGTCCTGCGACGGTGGCAGGTCTCCTCCTCTAAGCCGAGATGCAGATCCAACAAAGGCAATATCCCTCGTTCCCGATTCCTGAGCCCTTCCCCCAAGAAACAACAACAGAAGCAGATATTGACTTGTCACTCGTAACAAGGCGCTGGCTCCTAAACCCCTTAGTTCGCCGGCCGGGCACCACAAGAACAAGACGGATCTCCTGATGATGGAACTTCCGGAGCGATGGGGACACCTGCGCAGACAGTGCCCCAATGGAAGTGTCGATTCCTCGCATGTTTGCGGGCAGTGCCATTTCCATGGTGCAGATGTCACGCAACAACTGAAAAGCACACGGGGGATGCTGGGCCCGATTCCAAACTAACCGCTTCAACATAAGACCCAGCCACAAGTTCGCCCTTTCCACGGACCCGGACCAGCAGCTTCTAGCACACCAGGAACCTGAGGCTCTTGACCCAGCCACAACTTCAGAGACACGCTTGCCTGCCATGATGTCTCGCTGAACCACCCGAGCAGCACTCATCCCTTTGAAGGCATACTTCTGCAGGATGACCTGGGAAGCGGAGTCGGTGACTCAACGCATCCTCCTGTGGTACACCGTCAAAGAGTTCGAGTTCGGGGCTTGTGTCTTTAGGCTAGTGCCGCAGGAAACGTCAGAACGGAGTCCCTGGACATGCATGATCTACAACTTGCCTCACGGGCCCCCCATTTCGAGGTCGACAAGAAGCTCACGATGAGACGGTCCAGACAACCGCTGCTCCGAGGTTCGCACCAAGCCATCTGACTCGGCTTGGCGCCGGTCTCCCTGGCATGCTTCTGAGGGCTTCGATTAGCTCGAACAAGCTCGACGCAGATTGTCGAACACTCCGCATGATTCTGTTGGGAGTTTGCAGCTGCGTCGTGGACCTCTGCTGGAACTCAAATGTGGAACAGACTTGTGCAGACCTGAGTGCCTACGACTCGTTTCGTCAGAATCCCTGCTTCATGCCCCGGTCACCTGGCGCCAGGTTCCTGACACTTCCAACATCTTCTGACCTCATCGGCATGGCTTCCGAGAGTTACAGCCTAAGCTTCGAACGATCCCAATGGAGGGATGCCTGTGTGTGTGCGTGTGTCTCTCTTGCTTGCTTGCTTGCTTGCTAGGGGTGTGGGCTCCCGAAAGAACCCTGGCCCGGAGGCCTACCCCCTCGGCGCGCGTCTGTCGTGTTCACCCTGTGATAGGGCCGATGCCGAGTTCCCCTGAGTGTACCTTGTCTGACCCCCCCCCCGGAAGACACCCCTGCTAAGCCAGTGACCGATGTACAACCCCATAGGTATCACTCAGGTCATCCATCGGCATGCCAAAGAGTCAGTGCAGTGCTCTTCCCCTCAACTGAAACACACGTTCTACCATAACATGAGGGGGAGAAGCACTGGTGTTCGTCGAACTGGTGGAGCTCCACTCCCCCTTCTGTTCCGCGAGGTGTGCCAGTCGAGTAAGGTAGCACAAAACGACTTGCATAAAAACGCATAATTCAGTCCCTCTTCTGGCCCCCCCTCGCGCATGGACTCTACCGGATTAAACCAACCTACCTGCCACCCCCTCTCTCTCTCTCTCTCTGTGTTTGTGTGCTTTTGTTCACTTGTTTGTTTCACGTGCAGACATTCAGGTACCTGTATGTACATCTGCACACATGCACACACTGTTGCATATTTACGTCTACTTGTAGATGCCCTTTGTGTTCTCACATGACTCGCACAGAACCTCATGTACACTTGACCCGTGTGAAGCAACATGACTGAGAAAGCCACTCCGTATGTCGTCCATCACGTGGCAGATGCACCGATAACGCCTCAGACCACAAGGCAAGGAACACGGCGTGCGGCCAGATCACGAACGGTTTCAGTGCCAACACAACTGCTTCCAGTCTTGCAGGTTAGTGCGGCCAGAAAATACCGTTATGGCTGTGGCAAAAGTCCTGCAGGCATGGCACATCTCCTGGCTCTTCGGAGCAGGCTCAGCCTGGCCCAAGGTTGTCCCCGAGTTGCGAAACGCTCCGCAGACACAAAATTCCTCAAGTCCGTGCCTCCAGTTCCAAGCCACCAACTCCTGCCAGTCACGGGAACGTCCAAACGCACGCCAGAGCTCAGCTAGAGTCTTCCACGCATTGCATTTTGCAGTTTACGGTTAGGAAGGTTAGCAGAAGCGACGTACGGGACATGCGCTTCAGATGTGTGGATGTCAGCAGCGTAGGAACTTCGAGACGGGTTCACGCGGCTGCTTCTCCTTGAAAAACAACGTAACTAGGCAGAAGCGCTTCCAAGCAAGGCCCTCAAATAAGTCGGATGACTGGAACGAACCCCACCCTTGCCGGCCTTTGCATTTTCGCAACAAGCTGGTGTAGGTTTGCCCTGCGTTGGCCTGATGGCTGCAGTTCTGGCCAGCACTTGAGATTCTGGGTCTTGCCTGCAACGTGATGCTGTGGCACTGGCACTGCTGCAACAACTGTTGTTACTTCGCGCTTTTGCGACATGCTCCACATACCTTGCACGAACGACAGGTACATGATCCAAGGCCTGTCGGTGCAGTGGCATCCAGAGGTGTAAGCGTCTCCGTCTCAGTTCAGATCGTGAACACGGACGCCTACTTCCCGGGGCAGGAAGAGAAGCGACTCTGCTGGCAGATTCGCCTCTGGAGCGGTTGGTCTTTGTCTTTCCACGCTGCAGCTCGAGAACCGTGCGTAACAGTTTCATCAGTCCACGACGTCACGGATGTCGCTTTAGTGATCCAACACACCTCAGAGGTTGTTGTTCTGAGCGCGAAGTAACCTCTCGATTCTTGCATGCTCTTCTTTCTGTGCGAACGTCAGCGCTGTTTGGCCATCATTATCCGCCAGGTCCTTGTCAGCACCTGCATCCAACAGCAAAGTCACAGCCTTCCTCCACCCTCTGAGAGATCCCTGCATAAGAGCTGTTCGTCCACTGTCGTTGGCCAGGTCTTTGTTTGCCCCTGCATCCAAGAGCAAGCGCACCACCTCCTCGTGGCCTTTGCTTGCTGCGCAGATCAGCGCCGTGTCGCCGTCGTTGTCCGCCAAGTCCTTGCTGGCACCGGCTTCCAAGAGCAGCCGTACGATTTCCACGTGGCCTTCGTTGGCTGCACAGAGGAGAGCCGTGTCGCTGTCATAGTTTGCCCAGTCCTTGTCAGCACCTGCTGCGACCAACAATCGTGCCATCTCCACGTGTCCTTTTCCACATGCGCAAACGAGTGCCGTGTCACCACGGTAGTCGGCAAGATCTGGGTCAGCACCACCATCCAGCAGCAAACGAACTACTTCCATGTAACCCCGGAGAGACTCGTTGATAAGAGCTTGCCAAGCATGCTGGGATAAATCTTTGTCGGTGCTGGCCTCCAGGACCAAGTTCGCCGTCTCGACAGTTCCTCGCAGGCATGCCTGAATGAGAGCTGTGCGACCCTTGCAGTTTGCTACGTTTGGCTGCGCACCGGACTCGAGCAGCAGACGCACGATGTCCGAGCGTCCTTTGCCAGCAGCACAAATGAGTGCAGTGTCCCCGTCCTTGTCCGCTGCGCCGTTTGCGGCACCAGCCGCAAGTAGCAAACGCACCGTCTCCACGTTGCCTTCGTTGGCTGCGCAGATGAGGGCTGTGTCGCTCGCA